CAAATAAAAGAAAAGAATGTTTGAGAAAGAGAAGGGAATGGGTATGGTGCCAGATGAGAAAACGAATTGGCGATAGAGAATATAAACACAAGAAAAAGGATTTAAAAATCATGATCTAAACATCGAAGGAAAAGGCGTGGAAGAGAGTATGCTAGGAGGTAGATAGGAATGTATGCGGAGAAGGGTGTAACATTGCATGTGGTGAGAACGTTATGGAGGAGGCCCGCAAGCTATTTCCCGAGCACGAAGAAGGGCAAGGCATCAGGTCCTGACAGAATACTGCCAGAAGTATGCGAAAGAATGTGAAAAAGAATGCCTGGAGGGAATGAATAGGTGTCTGAGGAAAGGGCAAGTTCCCTTATCCTTATGCACACAATACACTTTTATTTTTATAAAAAACGAAACTGCGAATTAACGAACAATTGTTTGCATTTTACGCATTTGCAGACTAGTCACTTATGATAGCCTGTCGTGAAGCTATTTTGTCGGGGAGATTTTATCGGGACTGTGTTGTTCCGGGCTACTTTGTCGAGGTAATGCAACGTATTATTTATGTAGAAGGTGTCAAGATATGATGTCAGAGAAAAAAAATATTCGTAGTCTTGAAACTCAGTTTTGGATGAATTGCATGCCTGACACCACAGATTAATTTTTTTATCTCTAATTTATCATCACACTTTAACAGTTTTTATAAATAATATGTTGCACTGTAACCTGCATGGGCATTACCTATCGTTTCCGGTTTTTAAAAGTTTTTAAATGACATATGGAATGCCCTAAACGCTATTTACATTTTCTAAAATAATTACTATACTGCTGTACTTGTGGTTTATAAATCCGCCTTGATTTTTTATCCTATATTTTCGCAAAAGAAATCAAAAACATGTAACATTTTATAGTAATATAAGAGGGACGTTGACTGACTGCTCACTAACTCAGTGGGTTACAGTGCTTGCTAGTAATGGGAAGGCTTTAGGTTCGACCTCTCCATGTGTGACTAGTGTTAGTATATTTTTTCTTAAATTCTAGTAATAGTTATAATGGGATTGAAGTTACTTTATATCAAATTTATTATACTTTTTCCTCCCGCTAACAAAATGACGTCATCATAACATTCAGCAGCATCGAATCAGTAGTTAGAATTTATCTAGCGTCATTCATCTGTTCTAAAAATTCAATAATAACTTCCCTAGTTCCTAGAGTACAGTCGAAGAAATCCTACTTCTTAGAAAAATTATAAAATTTCGTTTTGGATTTTTTTATGACAAAATATAGATATTGTAAGAAAAATAATCCCACATAAGGTAATTAAACATTCAGGACACGCTAACCAATACACCACCGGGAGTTGGTAAGCTGGGGTGTCTAAAGGAAAAACTGTAGGCGGATTCATAAACTACAACTACAGGAGTATGTTATTTTATAAAATTTATGTTATTTATAGCGAAAAATTTTAGGTGACGTTATCAAAATGTTGTTGGGGATATTTAGACAAATTTTGGTTAGGGTTTTACAGTCGCTTCAGTAGTTTCGGAGATTATTTTTCTAGTAAACATCGATACAAACAGATGACTGACAGACGACATCTAGAAGACAGACAGAGGACAGGCAGACAAAAACAAGATATTGTACCTAGGGGCCATGAAACATCGAGAAAACATGAAAATAGCCAATTACTTATGGACCCTATTACAAAACTTTCTTAGCTTACTTCTGAGAAGTTAGAAATCCAAATTTTACAGTAAGCTTTTATAAATTAACGTTCGATTGTTTTTACTTAAAAACATTGGTCGAAAGTTGTTTCGATAGAACTTCCCTCATCCTTGAAGTATAATAGAATATATCCAGCAGTTTAGAAACATTATAAAATCGGAATTTGCGAATTTTATTTTTTATGAGAACCCCTATAAGTTGAAATAAACATATGTAAATATGTAATTTAAAAAAAATATAAAGAAGCGTGCTACGCGTATGTTGCAAATGAGTTTTTACTTTACAAAATTGTTTGATTGTATTCCCAAATTTGCGGGAAAATGGAGTCCTTGATTTTATCAATAACATAAATTGATTCATTCAATACCTCTTGACTGTAAATTAAGTTTATTTTGGTTTATATTTTCTGTAATTGGATTATTTTAATCTGTTGAAAATAAAGGTTATTATTATTTTTGAACCACCTGCGTAAACAAATATAAAAAAAATTAATGCACTGAGAAATCACGACGATAGAGTGATAATATTTTGCATAATTCAGAGAGGACTTATTCGACAAAATATTGACATGACGTCATGAATTTTTTAGGAGAGGATAAATGAAAATATGAAGACAGTGATAAACCACAAGTATAGGCTCATCATATTTTATACATTTTAGGTAGGATTTATTCGGTAAGATTTTGGGGTGAGGTCATCAATTTTTTGGAGGGGATATGCAAATATGTTTTGATTAAAAATTTACCTTGCTTATGCTAACTTTAAAACATCTGCAAGATTTCAAAGCGTTCGGTTTTGCAGATTCAAAATTAAAATGCACAATTTTATATAATTTTGATTTTGTTTCCAAAAATCTAGACGTTTCGGGTAAAAACTCAACATGGATTCATAAACTACACGTATAGAACTATGTTAAAACGACGAAGTTAGTTGGTGTTTTACATGATATTCGTAATACACATGTAAAATTTGGCAAAAATCGGTCCGGTAGTTTCGAAAATAATCTGACTAACAAAAATCGCCACGGAGAGCAGACAGACAAGCGGAAACCCGAAACCCATTTCTTCCTTTAGCTTATTTATGTTCAGGAAGTAAAAAACGCAGAAAAATACAAGGTACGACAAAAGCTAGTGATATTTTACACTAACATTCTGCATTTTAAAAAAAGGCTTACGACGAATAAAAAAAATCATCAGAATTGAAATAGGGCGGGTGGGCGGGGGTTATATTTTGCCTTTTTTTCTTAATATACATATCCATCTTTTCATAACAACAAACTTAAAACATGGTTAAAATGGTTTTTGCAAGGAAATATGGATTTTTCAATTATGGCGCGGAGCCTAATTGCAAAATTGATATTTCCTTATACAAATTTTCCATTTTAAACATGTTTTAAGTTTCATGTTGTGAAAAGAGGTCTACACATATTAAATAAAAAAAAATGTAAGCCCGCCCAGCCGCCCTGTCTCAATTGTGATGAATTTTTATTCGCCGTGAACTAAAGGGACGGAGCTTAACTGCAAAATACTTATTTATTTACAACAAATTAAAAACATGTTTTTGAGTATCGTGTTGTTCAAAGAATACTACGTATATTAAGAAACAAACGCAAATATAACTACCACCCACCCACCCCATCTCAATTGTGATGATTTTTTTTATTATTACAGACTTAAAGCACCTTCAAAATGGTAAACGTTTGTAAGGAAATGTGGATTTTGAAATTAGGCTCCGCCCTTAGATCTGCCAACGAATGAAAACTTCATTTTTATTTAGATCAGGGCAGGTATGGGTGGAGCTTAATTTTTGGCTTTAATTTTTTCTTAATATACATAGTATTTTGTGAACAACACGATACTCAAAAAGATGTCTTACATGGTAATTTCTTGTAGAGAAATAATACGAATTTTTTTTCATCGCAGTTGAGATAGGGCGAGGGGCGGGGCTTATATTTTGCCTTTTTTCTTAATATACGTAGTCGTCTTTTCAGAATAAGAAACTTAAAACATGTTTAAAATGGTAAATTCTTGTAGACAAATATGGATCTTGCAATTAAGCCCCGCCCCTCGATCTGACAACGAATGAATAATTGATCACAATTGAGAATAGATATCGGGCTGGTATGGGTAGGGCTTAATCTTTGATTTTATTTTTTTCTTAATATACCTACATAGTATTCTTTGAAGAACATGAATCTCAAGAACATGTTTTTAATTTCTCGTAAAGAAATAAGAATTTTGCTGTTAAGCTCCGTCCCGTTGGTCACAACGAATAAAAAAAATCATCACAATTGAGATAGGGCGGGTGGGCAGGGCTATATTTTGGCTTTTTTTTCTTAGTATGAGTAGACATATTTCGACAACAATAAACTTAAAACATGTATGTATTAGTATAATCCAACAAAACCTAATAGTCAAGATTAAAACAAAGAACGATTTCTGTTTTCATACCTAGACAAAATAGTCCGACAAAATAGCTCCCAACAAAACAGCTCACGACAAAATAGCGTCAGGACAATGTAGCTTCGACAAAATAGCTGCATGAGTAAATGTCTCGTCAAAATATAGGTATTATAAAAAATATGTAGATACCTACATACATGCACTATTCTTTATGTTTATGCATTAAAACATTACTACATTATTATTCTGACCTGACTTGATTTGGCCTAACCTGACCTGACTTGATCTTACCTGATCTGACCTGACCTGAATTGATCTTACCTGACCTGATCTGACCTGATTGGACCTGACCTGATGTGATCTGACCTGACCTAACCTCTCTATTGTCTCAAATAAACAAATTTTAAACATTTCTAAACAAAAATTTAGTCTAGTAAATTTAGAACGCATCTGAGACGTTGTCGATCGACAGACGAAAACACAAGGTCGACAATTTCAAATTCTTCAGGCTGTTAAATGTCAAGAAAACATAAAAGACTAGAAAATTCGTTCTCCATTTTCCTTTGTGTTTTGTGTTTTTATAACATATAGGGATACAGTGTGTAATATATGTCTAAACTTTGACGATAAATGTAAGTCGTAAAATAAATTTTAACGATTAAAACTAGACAGGAAACTTTGCTGCTGTTGAATAATTGAAAAATTTACACAAAATTATTAACTTTCGAGCGACCCCATTTACCGAGAATTCATGGAATGACTCACTTGAAATAACTGTAACGATCAAGTAATCAATTTTCCTTAAAATACTTACATCACTTCCTTAGCATGCAAGCACACATGCTTTTAAGCTATTTAAAATTGCTATCCATGAATGACACTTACAATATTCAACAGCGCTAGCACGTACTGTTCTACTTTGTCTTTCCCGTGAAAGGTAATCAATGTATGGTCCACGGCAACCGCAATTTCTAGCCATCTGCGAGGCAACAAAGACCCTCCCGGTTTGCGAGCTATAAAATGTTTATTCTTGTCATAAAAGCGACACCAATTTTGTAGATTTTTTACTTATCGGTGAGTCAGCTGACCAAGCTGTGTCGTAAAAGTATCCCAGCTCTTCATCTTCTAATTGTTCCCGACGCCAACCTAAGTGTAAGGACGACGTGGCCTTCTCCTCCACAATACCGTCCGATTCTGGGTCATCTTCCTCCCCTGTGTTATCTTGTATAGATCCAACATCTCCTCCTATGTCGATCACGTCTCCCGTTAAATTAAAAAGCCACTGTTCCGCTACGGGTTGCTCGAAATAAACGTCTTCTGTGTGACGTTTTAGACGGTTTTTACTGGATGTAGTAAAACAAAATTAGGTTTGTGTGGGGCCTAGTGTCTCAAAAGGATGTGTAAAATTTGCTTATAGAGGATACAATTTATTTAAGTGAAAAATTTTTATATCGATATTGGATAAGGTGTTCAGCGAGGTATGCTAAAAAGGGTCTCTTGAACTTCAAGTCAACACCTGATACTTTTAGACCAAGGCAGATTTAAGATTCGAATCGCTCGCCATTCAAAAACCTTTCAGAGCCAAGAGAGGCGCTCTTCAGTTTCCCTGAAATTAGATGCATCAACCCTCTCGAATACATTCCAAGGTGAACGCAGTCATATGGTATGGAATTTAGAATCATTCGTCTAGTAAGCAATTTTCGGAAAAACGAAGATATATCATAAGGAGAAACGTTCGCATACTTAGTTACTGTTGAAATGTGTTGTTGTAATATTCATTTCAATCTACTTCAATTTAAAAATCTATATTAATATATTTCAAGTCTTTAGCAACCCATATAAGTTTTAATAGTACTTAAATTTCAAAACTACTATCATAATTCATAATTTGGTGAAAAATTTAATCTCCCTGCAGCAGAAATATTTTATGAAATACGAGATGCTTTGGTGTAATCGTTCGACCATATTCATTTAACGCATTCCACTCTACTAAATTGAGCTTTGTTAATCTCTGTGTTTTGTTGTCTTCGTTCCTTTGCGTCGTTTATGTATTAGTTATTATTGCACGAAAAAATCTGTTAACTCTAGTGGGCCATGAAATTTATTTCTAAAATAATAATGATGGCATCGCAGATATTTTCTCTTTGTTTTCGTAATGTAGATAGCAATCTTTGAACAACACGATACTCAAAAACTTATTTTTAATTTCTTGTAAAGAAATAAGTATTTTGCAGTTAAGCTCCGCCCCTTTGCTTCACGGCGAATAAAAAAATCATCACAATAGAGATAGGGCGGGTGGGCGGGCTTACATTTTTTCTTTTTGTTTTAATATGTGTAGACTTCATTTCACAACAAGAAACTTAAAACATGTTTAAAATGGAAAATGTGTATAAATAACATCGATCTTGCAATTAGGCTCCGGCTCATAATTGCAAAATCCATATTTCCCTGCAAAAATGTACCATTTTAAACATGTTTTAAGTTTCTTCTTGTGAAAAGATGCCTATGTATATTAAGGAAAAAAAGGCAAAATATAAGCCCCATGATTTTTTATTTTGTAGTTAAGCTCCGCCCCCTTGGTTTTAGAGCTGAAAATTGTCATTTATAAACTCCGCTGCCAAGTTGCCTTTGATAGTAACTTTGATGTTCAACTTTTGTCGTATTTAAAGGGGTTGTAGAAGAAAAGTGGAGAATTTAAGTTGATTACTACAAAAATTTATCATTTTTAAGTTTCTTTTTGTCGAAATAAGTTTACACATATCGAAAAAAAGAAGCAAAATGTTGTTCCGCCCACCCGCCCTATCTCAATTGTGATAATTTGTTTTTTTGTCGTGAGCCAAGAAGGCGGAGCTTAACTGCAAAACCCTTATTTTTCCACGAGAAATTAAAAATATGTTTTTGAGTATCATGTTGTTCCAAGAATACTATGTAAATTTAAAACAAAGAAGCCAAAGATTAGGTACCACCCATACCCGCCCCAATCTAAATAGTAATGAAATGAAGTTTACATTCATTGGCAGACCTAGGGGCGGAGTCTAATTGCCAACTCCACATTTCTTTACAAAAATTTGCCATTTTAGATGTGTTTTAAGTTTCTAAGAATTAAAAAAATCATCACAATTACGACAGGGTGGGTGGGGAGGCAATATTTTCTCTTTTTTTCGTAATATAGAGATCGTCATCTTTAAACAACACGATACTCAAAAACTTATTTTTAATTTCTCGTAAAGAAATAAGTATTTTGCAGTTAAGCTCCGCCCCTTTGCTTCACAGCGAATAAAAAAAAATCATCACAATAGAGATAGGGCGGGTGGGCGGGCTTACATTTTTTCTTTTTGTTTTAATGTGTAGACTTCATTTCAAAACAAGAAACTTAAAACATGTTTAAAATAGAAAATGTGTATAAATAACATCGATTTTGCAATTAGGCTCCGCCCCATAATTGTAAAATCCATATTTCCTTGCAAAAATGCACCATTTTAAACATGTTTTAAGTTTCTTTTTGTGAAAAAATGCCTATGTATATTAAGAATAAAAGGCAAAATATAAACCCCGCCCACCCACCCTATCTCCATTGTGATGATTTTTTTTTATTCGTCATGAGCCAAGAAACTGCAAAATTCTTATTTCTCTAGGAGAAATTAAAAACATGTTTTCGGATATCGTGTTATTCAAAGAATACTATGTCAAAGAATACTATGTAAATTAAAAAAAAAATGAAGCTAAAAATTTGGCCCCACACATACCCGCCCCAATTTCAGTTCTCAATTGTGATGAATTTTTCAAGTTTCTTGTTCTGGAAAGACGACTACTTATATTAAGAAAAAAGGCAAAACATAAGCCCCACCCACCCACCCTATCTCAATTCTGATGATTTTTTTATTCGTCGTAAGCTCGAGGGGCGGGGCTTAATTGTAAAATCCTTATTTCTCTAAAAACTAAATCTATTAATTAAAAAAGAAAACCAAAAAAGAAGCACCACCTATCCGTCTCGATCTCAATCGTGATGAATTTTTCATTCGTTGTCAGACCGTTTTTCCAGAATCGCCCCTTGAAATATCGCAATTTTGAAAAATTTCAAAAAACTCGAATTTCACAGGGAATATTACGAAAGTTTTGCTCCGTGACCTCAAACACGCTATATTTTTGGAATCAGAACGTTGAGATCTATATCCCTGAATATTTTGAGAATTTTTAGACAACTTTCAAAAATGAAATTTTTCACATTCCAAATTTCGACCCATTTTTGACGATTTTTGAAATTTAACCAGTTACATTTTCTGGTAGCTTTCGGGCCACAGAAGTCACTTCCGGCCTCATTTCTTCGATAACTCCAACCATTTTTCCAGAATCATCCATTGAAAGATCGCAATTTTTAAAAATTTCAAAAAATTCGAATTTCGCTTGGAACATTTCGAAAATGTTGATAATATAAGTTATACTATATTTTATTTTGATTTTCGATATAGTAATTCACAATTGGTTAATTATAACTTGTCTAGATCTCAGCATCTCCTAGCCTCCCCGTAACTACAACCTTGCTTACAATGACTTTAAAACATCTGCAAGATTTCAAAGCAGTCAGTTTTGCGATTCTTGATTTAAACAATAAAATAAATTGTCTGAGCCATTAATTTTTTTAAGACACCCTGTATAAGCAAATCCAAAAAATATGAATGGAATGATAAGTTCCAAGTACAAACTCATCATATTTTCTACATTTTAGGTCGGATTTATTTGGCAAAATTTTGAGCTGACGTCATTAATTTTTTGGAGAGGATAATAATGTATTTTGATTAAAAATTTATCATAATTCGGTTTTACAGATTCAAAATGAAATTGCAAAATGTTGTTTTATAATTTTAATTTTTTTTCCCCAAAAATCTGGAAGTTTCTGGTAAAAACTCAACACGGCGTCATAAACTACATGTGTAGGACTATGTTATTTTATACAATTAAAAAAAAACGAATTTTGAACTGACGCCACATTATCTGGTAGTTTCGGAGATTATCTGTCTAAAAAAATCGACACAGGCGATTGACAGACAGACAGACAGACAGACAGACGGAAACGGAAGACCTACTTTTTCGTACTCTAGGGGTCATAACCCACCGAGAAAATTTGAAAGCAATCAGTCGCCCGATGGACTCGATTACAATACTTCCTTAGCTTACTACAGGAACTAAAAAGTTGGAGAAATGTTGGAGATCGAACTCTGGGCCTTTCAAGTGCAAAGTAGTGAATTAAAATATGCTGAAATATCGAAAAAATAAATTTACTTTACTTAATATTTTGAAGATCGATGTCTTCAACATTTGAGTTCAAGAACTTTCTAAAATATTTTTTTTTTACTGAATAAACAGTTCTTATCTGATTTAGTGCTCCATCTTTTCATCAACCTGTATAACTCTCAGAAAATTAAAAATTTGACAAAAAACCAAAATATTTGTCAAGTTGATATTGTCGTATTTCACAGATCTTCAGGTATCGACACTTATACACCGAGAAAGCAATAAAAAACACGATCAAGGGCAGCCGTGGATTTTTGAAAATTTGTCTCTGATCGTTGCATTTTCAAGTCAACTTTCGAATTAACGGTAATCTGACAAGACGAAAATTCAATCAAAGACAAATCTTCAAAAACCTATGGCTTTCTTTGACCAGTTTTTTATTGCTTTCTCAGTATATTATACAAGGTGAGTCACCAAGGGTGTGGTCCTTGACTATTCTTACACTTTATAACAGAACTATAGGTTATTTTTGCAATCTCGATACGACGTTGCCACGTTATTCCAAATTTTTGGAATTTTGTTTATCACATAACGATGCAAATTTTGGCGGGCATTTTTAAAAATTTTTGTCACTTAATGCGAAAACTATTAGACAAATTGGAACTGCTACAGATTAGAAAACTCAAAGCTTTAGAAGAAAATACAGACATAAAAGTTAAAAATCAGAGCTAAAGACCCATTAGACCTGACTTAACAATTTTTGAAAAATTTATATTATTATTATAATTATTAAATGCAAATGATTCGTTTCTAATTAATCGGAAGCAATTTAATTCGTAAGTGAAACTTTTATATTTTTACTTTTGTCATTTTTGACAGAACAATGTTTTGTTATATTTAATAATTAGTGTAATTATCAATATAATTAATCGTACTTAAGGGCTAACTTAAGCTCATTTGATTATAATAATTAATTAATCATGAAAATATGTTGTTGCACTTCATTACACATAAATACTACACGATCAATTATTATTAAGTTCAGTTAATCAGAAATAATCATAATTAACAGTTATTCATTAGCGTAATAATTTAATGCGAATTAGTCTGTTAGCCTTAATTAATTACGCTTAATAAAGCTCAGCTTTCTAGTGGTCAGTTCCTGAAATGTATGTTCAATTTTCGTATATTGTATGCTTATGAAACTTCAAATGAGGTAGAGTAGACAATTAAGTTCTCTGCATGTATGTAATTTTCATTACACTTAATTAAAGGAATAATTAATTTTGCTCAATATTACAACAATAAATTGCAGTATATGTATACATTTAGCATTGTATTAAAGCTACCCAACACCAACAGTGACACAATTTATGGCTTCATATTTTTGTTGTATCGAAATATCGCATCTCCCATTAAATTTTCGCTTCCGGTCGGGCACTAGGAAAATGAATTTTGCCGTCCATTAGCTCCACAAATACGGAAGTGGTGGGCAATTAATGAACACTTATAGACGTTCATTTTTAGATTTATTGTGACCTGACGAGTGGCCCCAAAAAAAACGTGTACATTAATTTAATAACGTCAAAAATTCTTTTTTAGGTAGTTTGTAGACACTAAACAGAAGCTAACAGTAGATAGATAAAATGTTTAATTTAGCTAAAAAGAACTAATAGCTTGTAAAATTGTGCCAACGCTGTTATTTGCTGACCAGGAAGACAAAAGGAGGGTTAAATTTGATCATCCTTTATATTCTCTTTAGTGAATTAGTGGACATTACGTTTGAACCAATAAAACGAAGACTGTGGGAACAGGGAATTTTCTGTAAGTAAATAAAGTCAGGAGTTGACCTTTGAATTTAACTTCTGCACTTCACCCAAGTATCGAACCCTTTTGTGTATCTGACTGAACTCAAATATCCATCTTTGAGAGATTATGTGCAATCTGTGTGTGGAATTACGTTTTGCTGAGTGTATGTTATAGATTATAAATCATATTCCATTAGTTCATTAGCTGGAACCCACTCAATCATCAATTAATAATTTTAAATTAAATCGATACTTCATAGTGGTTGCCTTGATGTACAGAAATGAAATTAACTCGACTTATTTAGTTCAGTCAGATTCAACACCCTGTATACTGTGAGTTGTCTTTCTGTATTCAACACATTGAACTGAATTCGCCTCAAAGCTTGCAATACTTAATTGAATCTAGCTTCCAGTGCATTACAGCAACTCCGGGAAACAATTGATTAGTTAAGCAGAATTCCTTGCCTGTATAGTCGATGCTCCTCTTCGCTGCTGTTGGCCCCATTTTTGGGTTCGAGGAAAAACACCACATCACCCACACTAATATATCCGGTTACAGACCGTCCACACAACGCCACCGCAACCCTTGATGACGTCTCAAGGCTAGTAACTACCCCTAATTTATAATCACATTCCTGGATCGCCTTCAGGGTTACATCCCCATTACCAGAGACCCATTCGGCCCAGAGGGTTGGAGCAACGACCAAATTACTTTCAGGATTAAGTTCTAAGGTCCAATCTCCCACCTCAATCATTTTCAATTTGTTCGACTCCTGCACGTAAACATTGCTGGATATGTCGCGACGTCTGCGGATTGTTTTTTCGTAGATTCGGGGGTAAACAGTCTCGGAGAAGTCGTCGAATAAGGGAAGATTAGGCCAAAATGTGAAATCGGCGCCTGGAAATGACGCCACGAGGAAACAACCGACCAATAACGGAGACATCTTGCTTTGAACTGGTGCTTATTATGATTCTAATTGACCACATGGCTGTCGAGATGAGCGCTTTATTGTGTGATGCAATTTAATTTGCTGCATGCTGTACAAACAAGGCTTGACAATGAACTCCAACCTCATTAAATGCTGCGTTCATTTAGAACGCTACTTTCGGGAATTTATCGGATTTTATACACAATTATCTCTGGCGTTTAGTTAAAGCGATGGAATTTTCGCTTAAGATAATAAATAAAGAATTACCCTTTAACAGTGGAGCGACGCGTGGAGTCTGGATGATTGGATATTAAACGGAATAAAATAGCGTTGTACTCCCAGTTCGGGGTCTAAGCGTTATTGTGTCGGAGCTTATTGCTACGGTATTAAACTACCAACTACGAAATGAAATGATTACGAACTGCAGAAAAAAAATTAAATGAAAACGTGAAGATGATCCGTTCCAATCAATTTTTCGTTGCCTACGCACAAATTTTTTTTGTCGTCCGAAATGTAATTTTTAGGTTGTTTACAAGTCGGCTTTAGAGATTTTCCCGATAAGTATAGTTTTCCTAAAGTATTTAGTTGCAAATCAACTCATTATGAAAAGAACAGTTGAGTAATCACTAATCACTTAGGTTTTACCAGTGGAAAAAACGGTACAGCCAGACATATATTGGTTTCATACGGCAAACTTTCCTGTTACCTCTGAAAAATCAATCCATGCTTCGTATTCAGTAGAAAGAATTTCTAAATTAAATAGCAGCTCTTGACTCATGATCGATCTGAAGTAATCTATTATTAATTTTAATTTAGAGAATAATCACCCAGCGGAGGCACCAGTGATAGATAAAGAAAAAAGGATTTCTACACCTATAACAAGATTTGGAAAAATGTCAACAATTGTAAAAATACTTTTTAAAGACACAATCCACACTTTTGACTTGATTTCTGTAAAAAGTTTGTGCTGCTGATTCTACATTTATATGTCATTAGATAATTCTAGTATGTTCTGTTTTCCTAACAGCACGTATTTACTTTGAACAACTTTTAGAATTGTTTAATACAGTCTAGAACGCCATAGTGAACCGAAATATTCACAAACTTGCTAAAACCACCTCGGGCTATATTTTGCTACCTAGACAAATTTAGTAAAGTACGAAACAATAAATTTTCAAATATTGGGTTGGTAACAGTAAAATATGGCACAGATGATCTCTCTCCATCTAAGTCTCTTTGTTCTTGTAACTGCTCTCATGGCGCAGTCATCATGAGGATAATTAAGTCAATTGAGCCACTAGATTTCAAGCCTGGGGGTTATTTTTAGACTATCAATCACCAATTTCAGTGTAATACAGTGACTTTACAGTCTTAACAAGTTCAGAAACCTAGAAATTCCTGAAAGATACGGTTACAGTTTTTAGTAATGTAAAATTTAGTAGACAGCTTCAGGCATTACTGAACACATCGGCAAATTGAAATATGAAGCTGAACTATGTACGTTGAACTAGAGAGGAATGGAAATGTGTGTTGAGAGATAAATTTGTATGCGCTCTATCTACCAGAATTCAAGAGCATGTGCAAACACATTCCGCCCTTCCATTTTACTGCATAATAATTCCCCATGTTGTTTAACATCGAGTATTTATGTATGGGATATTTGAAGGAATGTAAAGAGGAAAAAAAACAGGAGATTATACATATTTTTCGTTTATTTTAAAACGTTAAAATTATAATATATAATATATACAAAAGCATAAATATATAAGTACATATTGCACTACAAACTTCACAAAGGAAGGATTAGCATGTACATTGTGTTACACCTGATTTAATAAAAATTAGAAATAGAGCTTCTACATTTGTGAATTTTAATTAAAAGATCTTGGTTCAGACACCCTCCGTTCTCATAAGGTTTTATTTTTACAAAGTACTGCTTAATAAAATTGTAGGAAAATTTACGCCTAATACTTACCTTTCATTTACATTTTAACAAACAGAAGTCAAGGGGAAAGTAAAAATTAAATAATGGCAACTGTCGCAGTACGCAGTTAGTTTGAAATTTAATCCAGTCGTTTGGAATTTTAATCAGATAACTTAGTTAGCAAAGCTTATCTTACAACGATACTACTAAAAATTTAAAGGGAATTTAAAATATTCATTTTATAATTAAATTAGCTGCAATTTACTTACAGCCCTGACATAATTGTCTTTCCTTTGGTTTCTCGAAAGACATACAGCTGCATTATTTTTAATGATTATTAAAATTTCTAGATAACATTCGGTCTTTTCTGTAAACGAATACAACCGCATTTAAAGAAATTATGAAACGTTCTTTTATTTTTAGTGAAATTAATGTGATACATAATGAAATGTGCTGCATACTTTTTCTTAAAACCATATTAGGGGAACAAATGTTTTGCCACTTGCCAAATAGTGGTCTTAACTGCATGGTAACAAACAGTACAGCTAAGTTTCTCTTTTTTTTGTTTGGCATATTGCTTTCACCTCTTTCAGCATGTCTCTTCTTATTTTTTCTTTCAATGTCTTTTTTCCTCTTTTATTGTTTTGTGTTTTCTGGTTCTCTTAAGATTTCTATTCTTACCAACGAGTGGTCACTTCCTATTTCTACAAATTTCTGTACTTTTGCATTTTTTATTTTTCTACACATTTCTGCAATTACAATTTAGTGATTTATGACTGATTTCTCATTTCTGCTATGGACCTCTGTATTGTTACGAAATAAAGCCCTACGCCGCCCCGGTACGACGTCTATGGGTGCTCCAGAACAAGCCTAGAAGCGGTGACTGCAACCTTTGGCTGTTTAACTGGGAACCACCCTCGGGAGCAGTCAGTGAAGTTCAGACAACGACAGAAGCAGAGTCTAGTCAAATTCATTGCAGTCGGAATTATTGTATACATAACTGCTGTACAATTAATCGTGTAAATTTGAAAAATAAATTGTTGGGTTTTACCCACGCCGATTTTAAATCACCGATCATCACAACAATATATTTGTGTTTGAATTTTGTTTTTGCTATCACCAGATCATGTGCAATACATAAACCTATTAATCTTAATCCTATTTCATTTTTTATTTTTTGTCTATTGGTTCTCATTCCTCTGCTATTGTTTCCTACCTATACATTCATATCTCGCGTTAGTATGGTATTTCGTACTCTTTTGCTAGTTCGTTTTGTAATGTTCCAAAAAATGTCTTTCTTTTTTCGTTGCGTTATCATTTGGTGCATAAGCAACTGTTATTTTCCATGGTTCACTTTCTTCAATATTTCTTTCGAGTTTTAATATTCTTTCGTTTTCTTACCTTCTGCACTTTCCTTATTCGTTTTGGTTTTATTATCAGTCCTTCTCCTTTTCGACCACTATAACAAGTATTCATCTAAAGTTTCCTTGCTTGATTACAGAAATTGATTAGACAGTGCCTTTTTCACGTAGAAACTGTGTTGTAGTATGACACATTAAATATTTTCAACTCAGTGAATTCATGGAGTTTGAACAAGTGACCGCCACATCCGTACAAACCATTATTTTTTAACAAAAATAAATATTTAAATTTATCAAGGGTAGATTTTAAATGGCGAGTAGTGTTTTTTTATCAACCTGACTCAGTGAGATATTGAATATTGACAATTCGAAAATAAAACAAGACGAAACCTCGGAATGAAATATCTTCTATTTATCTTTTATCTATTTCAATTTGGGGACTTTTAAAAAGTTCGACTTTTAAATTTTTCGATTTTTCGACTTTTGGTGTTTTTGATTTTTTATTTATTCGAATTTTCAAAATATTGCGACTTTTTAAATCTTACATTTTTCGAATTTTCAGTTTTTTGAATTTTCGTTCTGTTGATGTTTCGATTTCTCAGTCTTTCGATCTTTTTGCTTCTCGTTTTTAAATTTTTCCATTTTTCAATTTTTCGGAATTAATTTTTTAGTTTTTCGAGAATTCGATTTTTCAATTTTCGATTTAACGCTTTTCCTTCGATTTTTCGCCTCCTCGTTTTTAGATCATCACATTTTATACCAATATACGAGCACTGCTTTGTGGAGAACACCGGGGCTCGAAAATTTTAGAACACAGTAATGTTGTGGCCGTCTATATTTAATAATGATAAAATAAAAATTGTTATAATAACATCGATTTACTCAAAATAATATTTAGAACGTTTTGCTGCATTGTTAATAATTTTAATGGCTTCCTCTGTTTCCTCTGTTAATTGTCGCATTCTTTCGATATATAAACATAAACAATTGAAGTTAAGCATGTACTAATAATAAATTTTTACTTCAAGTCTTGCAGGCGCCTAGTGTTTATTTTATTATAAACAAAAATCTTCGGGGTCTCTTGTGTTTTGTTTTTAAAATATTTTTAAGTGGAGTTCTTTACTTGGAAAGAATTTTACAGAATCTTAGGGGCGGCTTCTAGCGTCACTTTTTTTTTATGTGATGTTTAAATTTAATTTAAAAACTCACAAAACTTTGAAAAATCGAGTAAAAAGATCAAAAAAAGAGAAAGTTGAAAAAAGTTAAAAATTCAGAAATTTAAACTTTGAAAAATGCCAAAATTGAAAAATTCCAAAACTTAAACGGACAAATCGAAAAATTAAGAAATCGAAAAATCGGAAATTAAAAAAAATCGATTAACCGAGAAATTGAGAAAACGAAAAATCAAAAAATTTAGACACGCCAAAAACTGAAAAATTGAAAAATAGAAAAATTGGAAACTCGAATAATAATCTAAAAACTGAGAAATCGACAAATGGAAATCGAAAAATTGGAAAAACGCAAAATCGAAACATCAAAAGTCCGACAAATCGAGGAACCGAAAAATCGAAAAATTGAGATCTCGAAATAGCTAAAGATCGAAAAATGGGAAGATTTAAACTTAAAAAACTCGACAAATCGAAAACTGAAAAATTAAATCCGAAAAATTGAAAAATCGGAAAATCTAAAAACGAGAAGGCAAAAAATCGAAAGACTGAGAAATCGAAACATAAACA